GACAGAAACATCAATGATGAGAAAGAATCATTGATTGGCTGCCTCCTGCACACCCCACACTGGGGATTGAGCCCGAACCCCGGGCATATGCCCTTGACTGGAATCGAAACCCCGGACCCTTCAGTCCACAGGCCGGCGCTCTGTCCACTGAGCCAAACCGGCAAGGGCTATACTGCAGTTTTAAATCATATGTTTAAATTTTTTTGTTAATCTCTCTCTGCAGGACTCAAATGTAAGCTCATTTTCATCAGTGTGGACCCAGTTGTCTAGCCATGTGTTAAACATCATAGGCGCTGAATAAACGGATGTTGAGCAAACTGGATGTGTTTAAAGGAAGCAGGACTTTTCTTAGCATATCGCGAAGCTATAGCTTAATCCTGAACAGCCACCATAACCAAAATAACTGTATTGACTTGGCTAAGAGGAGGTGGATAGGGACGGGGAGGATCTATCGAGGGGGAATCCATAGAGCTGTGTGTGTGTAGCCGTGAATGAGAGTGGGCAGTGGAAAGGGATAGAGCCACTTGGCTGGCAGGATGTCCTTTTAACTCGAGACGTGATTTCTGTTGTGAAGTGGGATTAATGTCTCACTTGTTACCAAGGCCCAGGTGAAATATCCATTAAAGCCAGTGGTTCTTACATTTTTAAGTTGTACCACCATTGATAATCTGGTAGAAGCTATGGACTTTGCCCCAGAAAGTTCATGTACATATACACATGTCCCCATTGGTAGGGTTTCTCAACCTTGGGGCTATTTACACTTTGGGAGAACTGAAAATGTCTCCAGACACTGCCAGATGTGCTCTGGGGGGTCAAAATCGCCCCTGGTTGAGAACCTCTGCTTGGATATGGTATTATAGTAACTTTATATGTACAAAAGAGAAAGAAAGAAAGAAAGAAAGAAAGAAAGAAAGAAAGAAAGGAAGAAAGGTAATATTTAAGATCTGTGAAGTGACAAACAGTAAATGAAAGATGAATTAGTATTACTACCAGCTGGTGTCTTATAGAAATGTGACAGCAAATATCCTATTTTGTAACTAGTCTTGTAGGACTAGTTGATTTTTTTAAACTGTGTGCATGTATTACTGATAAAACTAAGTAACAAAATGATTTTTATTTCTAATAATTGTCTAACCGTGTTTGTTTCTAGGCATCTGTCTGTATGGCTTCACAGTGCTCAATGCTTCAGAAAGATGGATGAATGAGACCAGGTATTATCATAAGCCAGGTATTCTTAGCACCCTTGGCAGCTCCCTGTAATTAGAGTCTCTACGTTTCATTCCAGGTAAGGGCTTGCCTAGGTGTCTACCATTTCATTTTTTTCTAATTATTTGCATACCATCCTTATCATTAGACTCTCAAGCAGCTGAACAAGCTATGGAAAAAATAAGTTCCAAATTTAGCCCTGGCTGGGTAGCTCAGTTGGTTAGAGTGCCATCCTGATACACCAAGGTTTAGGGTTTGATCTTTGGTCAGGCACATGTAAGAATCAACCAATGAATGCATAAATAAGTGGAATGACAAATCAACATTTCTCTCTCTCTCCCTCTTTCTCTCTAAAATAAAAAGGAAATCAAATTTAATGTGCCTGCCCTTGCTGTTTTTCCATTATTACTCATTTAAAATATTTTTGCTAGCTATTTATTTATTTAAATGGAAATATAATTGACATATAACATATTAGTTTCAGGTGTATCATATGAATATATATACATATGATATATATATTCACCAAAACAATTGTAGTTAACATCTGTCACCATATATGGTTATAAAAATTTTTTCCCCTTGTTATGTGGACTTTTATGATATATCTCTTAGCAACTTTCAAAGATGCAATATAATATTATTAACTATAGTCACTATGCTGTACATTACATCTACATGACTTATTATAATTGGAAGTTTGTGCTTTTTCACCCCTTTTACTCATTTTGCCCACCCCCCCAGCCCTGGCAATCACCAATCTGTTGTTTGTATTTATGAAAAAAATTTTAATTTTGCATATAAGTAAGATCATAGGATATTTGTCTTTGTCTGTCTGACTTAGTATAATGACTACAAGGTTCATTGATGTTTTCACAAATGGAAAGATTACATTCTTTTTCATGGCTGAGTATTACTCCAGGGTGTGTGTGTGTGAGTGTGAGTGTGAGTGTGTAATCTCAACCATTATTATTCTTAAGGGGCTAAAACCAAAACAAAACAGGAAACTAGAACAGAGTGATTCATTTTTCTCTCATAGGAATGCATACAGGTGTCTATCAGGTGAGGGCCTTTGCCTTGATTGTACCTGTAAAGCTAGCTGTCTTGGCGTGGTTGATGGTCTTGATTTTGTTCAATGTCTGCTGACTGCAGTGGTGAAGGCAGGATGATCCAGATAGAGAAATCTGTCCTGGAAAGGATTCCTGAAGTTGTTTTCTAACTTCTGATGATCTGCAGAGAGTTCTTTCTAATGTCTCTACTTTCAACTATTACTTTGGAGGAGAGGAGCCAAGAAAAGAAAAACAAGTTTAGTTACACTCTGGCATTTAACCACTTTTTGGCTAAGCGTGGCTCTTAATGCTTTTAATTACATGCTTAATTATATTCTGTTTGGTTTTAATAGTAGTTAAGCCATTACGCCTCAGAAGAATTTTTTATGACTGATTCTCCAGATGTAAAATGAAAGAGTTGGTCCTTGTGACTTCCAAGACCCCTTCTAGTCCTTGAACTTCTATGCTTGATCACTCAACATGAACTTCAGGGTCTAAAAGAATCATTTTTATGAAAGGCAAAAATAATAATCACCCCACACTCCATCCAGATGAAAATTTGAAACAAAGTTTACTTACTATGTATATATAAAATGAAAATGTAATTTTTATGTACCATAGGAGAGTACTAAGTGATTAAAGGATGAGTAGAAAATAGCATGAACTGTAACTAATCCTGTTTTTTATTTTCTGTATCTTATGATGTTTTAATATTTTGGGGGCCTTCCAGACCCAGGGAGAGACTGCATCTCCCAGGGTTAGCTAATTCCCAATTATAATAACAATCTTGCCTAGGAATATACCTTTTGTATGCAAACCAACCGATTTTGAGAATATACCTCTTACTATTCCTCTTATCTATCTCTCACACTCCACACCAATATTTTCCCTGACCTACGTTATCCCTGGGGAAGTACCAGGCCATTAGAGACCACCCCTAAAGCCGAAAGCTTGCCAGAATGATTCACGCTGGCTAATCCTAAACTGTTTACCCTGCCCTGCCTTGCCTTTCCCACACCACCCCCAATAAAGGTGCTGATCTCGCCTTTTCACTCCTGCTTTTGCCTCCTGACCAAAACTTAGTGCTCCCCATGTGGCCCTGTGTGGCATGGTGTGCCCCCTCCTCTCTGGAAATGTATTAATTCTTCTGTAAATGGCACTGACCGCTCCATATCATCATTCAGTTATCTCCATAGATTCAAATTCCATGGGAACAAATGAGATAATGACCTACATTCAGTTTTGTTGTCTAGTAAACTCGGGGAATTCCATGCTCCTTATGGCTGTGGCTGGTTGTTTCACTTGCATAGGACACCTTACAAATGAGAACCCAGACTTTTAACTCAGTCTCTGTGCAGGCCGGGTAGCTTTGTAATATTTTAGGATCACACATCCATCCCCTGGACTGGGCCGAATTTTCAAAATAAATTATTTGTTTTTTAAAGTATAAGGTGACAAAGGCAACTGGGGATAGGAATGGAGAATGGCAGATGATCACTGCAGCTATTGCTTGTTCCTTCTGGAACACTTAGTCATTGAGCATGCCCCTATGAAGCTAGCTCCCTGGCATTATCTTCCCATATGCAATTGAGGTCATTATTGCTTAAAGCCTCGTAACGATAATAATAATAGCTACAAATTGTCACCTCCCATCTATTTCTAATCCTCACAACAGACCTTCACACTAGGTCTGATTATCTCCAATTTATTGATGAAGAAACTGGACTCCAAGAGATTAATTTTCTCATTGTCATACAGCTAGAAGGTGGAGAGCTAGTAAGTAAAGAGCCAGGATTGAGAATCCAAATCTATCTGATTCCAAATCTTTTACTTTTTCCCATACCTTACACTGCACTGGAATGAATTCCACGGTGGAGAATTCCTCTTCCATCTGGCTGTGCAATGGTTAACATGGCCACTAAGGGTCTTTCCATGGCATGCAATGGTTAACATGGCCACTAAGGGTCTTTCCGTGGCATGACCATGTGCTGATACCCTTCTGGTTGCACAGGGAAATCTTTTATCATCTCTGGCTCTTGCTTCTTAATCTGAAAAATGAGGGATTAGAGTAGATGTCGTTTATGATAACTTGAATTCTTTTTTTAAAAATAATTTATAATTTATTTCCAACCTACTTTTTAAAAAATACATTTTTATTGATTTCAGAGAGGAAGGGAGAAGGAGAGAGCTAGAAACATCAATGATGAGAAAGAATCATTGATTGGCTGCTTCCTGCAGGCCCCACACTAAGGATTGCGCGCACAGTCCGGGCATGTGCCCTTGACCAGTAATCAAACTATGACCTCTTGGTTCATAGTCGACACTGAACCACTGAGCTATGCTGGCCGGGCAATAACTTGGTTTGTTAAAATATGATTATAACTGTGCTAAGTATGATGTATGAGAAATTTATATTTTATATCCTTATTTCCAAAGTAGATCTGGAGTACCCAAACTATCCAAGTGTGTTAGTTTTATTTAGCTGAACATTTTTACTTTTCTTCTTTCACATAATTTCAGAAAGTCAACAAAGAACATAAACTGGTTAACCTTAAAGAGAGCTATCTTTAATAGCTCAGAATTTAAAGTACAAATAAGAAATGGATGTCTTTAATAAACAAATGATGTGTCATTTGGAACAAATGCAATATGATGTGTGGGTTCATCCAACATAGTCATCAGGATACTTCAGCATACTTGGCGTAGTTAAAATTCCCAAGGTGTCTGTGTGTCTACTTGTGAGTCTTAGTATTTAATTTTACCACTGATGGGCCTCGCCAGAGCCGTGCTTCCAGCTGTCTTTTTGTCAGTGGGGATGGATGGATATACACAGATCCTTCTCTTGCCTGATCCATCTTTTGACCTGTGGCTTACATGAGTCAGATGTTTGGCTCACTAGAATCTGTAACCATAATAGTGAATTATTATCTGTCCTACCAGGGGATTGGACCCAATGCCTTTTCCTATTAGCCCTAGAGTCTAGTCCAGTGATGGCAAACCTTTTGAGCTCGGCGTGTCAGCATTTTGAAAAGCCCTAACTTAACTCTGGTGCCGTGTCACATATAGAAATTTTTTGATATTTGCAACCATAGTCAAACAAAGACTTATATTTTGATATTTATTTTATATATTTAAATGCCATTTAACAAAGAAAAATCAACCAAAAAAATGAGTTCGCGTGTCACCTCTGACATGCATGTCATAGGTTCGCCATCACTGGTCTAGTCCACTGTCTTCACCAATCACTCAGTTTAGGAGATGTGAAATTGTTACATCAGCTAGGCAAGTCACGTTACCTCACTGTGCTTCAGTTTTTACATTTTTCCACAGGGATAATAATACCACTGTGATTCTCAATGGAAGCCAGTATTTTGCCTGATAGTATACATTGACTATAAGTAGTTGCCTCACTTTTAAAATAACCCAATCAACTGGAAAGACAATATACAAAATTAAAAACCGTTCTATTGACTAAAACCTAATTATAACTAAGTTGAAAATTGGCTTTTTTAAAAAAAAATGCTTCTTCAAACATTTTCAGTTTGGAGAAAATTTGATATGGGGAAAGGACATTGAAAGAATAGGAAGATAATTTTTCCCCTTTTTGAGTCAAAAGTTTTTGAGGAAAATACAAATCCTAATCCCCAATTTTTTTTGCTATTGCAATCAAGTATACTAGTCAATAAAAGTTGCTATAACACAATGTTCCTTAATTTTCAGGCAAACTACCTTTTGCTGTAACATATTATTGTAATTATTAGATATATTTTTCAGTATATTTCCTAATATAAATGATTAGTCTGAATTGTGATCATGAGTGGCAGAGTTAACACTTCAATCCATAAACCTGTATTGAACTATGAATGGAGGTAGCAGGTCCAGAATATTGGTAATGAGGCTGAATAAGCATTTAAAGCAGGGCGTGATCCTAAACAACACCAACATCCCTGGTTGCTGCCTAGTTAGGAAAGAAATGAGCCGACTGGCTAGACGAGTCCAACAGAGACTGAGGAGAAGCTCTGAATTGGTG